CTGGTGGAAGATGGCAGGAGGGAGGGGCTACTATATTTGGGTAAAAATGGCCGCTCCCTGACTCAGTGATTGAAACAAAAATTATTGTTTTTATTTATTTACTGATTAATGCTAAATTCATTAAATCACTGCAAACGTATTAGTTTTAGGTATAAATAATGATCCATTGGTTATTCCCTGCTGACCGGACTTTTCCTTTAAGGGACGTTCTAGAACTGAGCCAGTCTTCCTGATTCTTGAAAAAGAATAGAGAGCAGCTTCTCATTTTCTTTGTAGATGTAAAGTAATTTTATCTAAACGGGACAAAAGTCTGTGGTAACAGCTGGATTTGGAGTTTTCCTTTAACCCCTCCTGTTTTAAAGGATCTAACATGCTTGTTGTTGTGGCTGCGGTGAGTTTTAGTTCTGAGAGGATGGATCTCATGATCAGAGGAACACCAGCTGCCTGTTGCTGGATCCCTCAGAACAGAGAGGTCCCATTGAACAATGAGCTCAGATGCTCCACATGTGACCGTCAGGCTGGACGTCACTCAGAATGGCCCCTCATTGTTTTTACATCAGTTTCCTTGCAATCTGATGTGTCGACTGTTAAAACATTCAGTTTATTAGGTCTGAAATAAACCAATTTAAATCTCTTCTTTCAGGAGATTAACGGCATCACAGCGGCTCTGGCTGAGGAGCTTTTCCATAAAGGTCAGAAGAATCTTTTTTGTCTCCTTTGCAGCTCTGCTCAGCCTCCCCTCCTTTGCTAAAACAAGATCTATAGATATTTATAAAAATACCTGTTTTTATTTCCCTTCTTATTCATTTATTGCTAAAATGGAACTGCAGTCATTCCTTATTTGTGAGACAAACTTAGTGATTAAAGCTGATTCTGAGAACATTTAAGCATTAATTAGATTCGACAAACTGTAGGAAATGTTATAAAAGCTGCAGCAGAAGGCAGGAATGTTTTGCTTATTGTGTATAAAGCATAACGAAATTAGACCTGGATCAGGATTTCATGCTTTAGTTCGGATTGTTCTTCTATCTGCCGACCTTTCCTGGAGGTTTGAGTGCTTTGTTGTGATTCTGTGCTGCAGGAGAGCAGCTTCTGCAGGCAGGAGAGGTGTTTACCCTTCGCCCTCTGCAGCTTTACTCCGTCACTCAGCAGCTCCGACTGGCCAAGCCCACCTGCTTCACCGGAGACGCCAAAACGGACCTGGGTCACATCCTGGACTTCACCTGCAGGCTGCGCTACCTCAAGGTACCAGAGTTAGCTCATTTAAGCGTCCTGCATGTTTGAGGTGCAGCCAGCGATGACCATGCTGGTCCTGTTTGTGCCGGTCAGATTTCAGGGACCAGAGGTCCGGTTGGAACCAGTAACATCCAGGAGAATAGCCTCTCCTTCGACCTGTCTGTTTTCAAATCACTGCTGCAGATTGAGGTAACGTCTGCTCCTAAAACACTCCTCCGTTTCTGCTGTGTTGAAGGACAAAGTCAAATAAAAACGCCTCTTTGACTCCGTCCTCAGATCAGCGACTGCATCGCGCAGCGGGTTCAAGGTCTGCCGTCTCTGAGATCCACCCTGGCTACTCTCAGCATCCACCGCTCCACAGAGTCCATGATGGTGCGTTTGCTCAGAAGCTGAACCCAGAGTTCGGCCGGTCCAGTCGCTCCTTTAGGGCTGATCTGTATTTCCTCTGCCGTCCAGTCCGTCCTCGTCCCGGAGGCCAGCGAGTTCCCGCAGTGGGAGCCTGAGGGGGTGGAGTCTGGGTGTCCGGTCACCGCCGTGGTTCCTGTGTGGAGACAGCTGACCACCCTGGACATGAGCCACAACTGCATCAGCACCATCGACGACTCTGTGGTGAGAAGGCTTCGTCTAAATGTTTACTTTTAACCAACAGGGAGGAGGAAAAAACTAAACTTTTAAAACCTTTTAATTCCCTCTTTGTTTGAATCACTGTAGAACTTCAGGCTTTAAGGAACACAGACCTGATTGTTGCAGCTAAGATGATCAAAATCAGACTTAGACAGAAAGAGAAAAATGATTCAGTTCAACCGGATCTGAAACCGGAACCATTTCAGAACCAGTTCCACTTTTAATCTGATGCTTTTCCAGTAGAAATAAACTATTACCGTATTTTCACGACTATAAGGCGTACTTTAACGTCTTTTTTTCCCTCAAAAT